AAAAAAAAAAAAAAGAAATGACACACTGGGGAGGGTGAACTCCTCGAGACCACCCGAGTCACCACCTCCAGCCCCTCTCCCTGCCAGGCCAGTCCCCACCAGGCCCTCACCATCGGACACAGTCTGTGTGCCCCCGGTAGTGTCTCTGACCCCCGCCTCCAGGCCCCCCAGGACCGCCCCCAGGCCGGTACAGCACAACCACGCAGGCAATGAAGTATACCACTTCCCCAGAGCGTAGCACAAACAGGTTGGAGCGGGAGTCCCGGCCCCGGTACCCATATCTAGGCAGGGACCACGTCAAGGAAAGTGGCCTGGAAGGAGGAGGTGCAGAGGGACACATGGACACTGCAGGACAGGAGCAGAGAACTTGAGCTCCCAGCCTCTCAAGCCCAGCAGGCAACTTGGGGAGAGCTTCCTGAAATCCGGGTAGGATACACCCAGTCGAGGTTTAGAGTCGTAGGGGGGAGCCCACTAGGCAGCTCCTCCAGGCTGCGGATGCCAGACGGGATGTACATGGTGATGGGGCGGCCGCGGAGGAACATCTTTACTGAGATGCCTTCTGCAAGAGGAGGGGGTGTCACCACCCCAAGCTTCCACAAAAGAGAAAAAGACCTGGGCCATCCCCAGGCCGCACACATACCAAGGTTGTAGTTGCTCCTCCGAGACCCAGGGCCCCCAGGGCTGGACGGGGGATCTCTGCCCCCACGGCTGCAGGGGGAGAGAAGTGTAAGGGTCAGGGACTGTGGGAGGACCCAAGAAAGGAAGTTCCTCTGGAGACTTAGAACTCAACAGAACCCTGTCTCAAAAATAAGTCAAAAGGGCTTGGGTTGCAGCTCAGTGTAAAGGTCCACAGTTCAGACCCAAAAACTTTAAAAAAGTTTGCTTAAGGGCTGGGGTTGTATTGCAGGGATAAGGCACTCTAGCATGTGAGAGTCCTGGGTTCAAGCTCAGTGTCACAAGAAAGGAAGAGGGGCAAGCCCAGGTCACACAGCTTTCAGGAATATTAGCACCAGGGCCTCCCACCTGCCCCCTCCACTTCCCCATGGGACAGAGGCAGCCCCATCTGTCCACAGTTTTCCCAGAGGTCACTGTTACTGGATGATGAGGTGACATCTGACATCGTCTCTTCAGCAGAAACCTGGGAAAGACCTGAGGCACTGTTCTGGTTCCGGGTCCCCTGCTGTCCTCTGCCCCCAGCAGTGAGCGCACAGGGACACGGTGGTATGGGGAGGGAACCTACTCAGATCACTGGAGCTTCAGGAAAGGCATCGAGACCCCTCAGGAGACGGCTGTGACCCCCTGAGGTCCTGGCGCTGGGCAGTGGAGACCAGCACTGTTGGGCGACGATAAGAGACCCCCCAGGGGAGCAGGTAGCCCTCCCCACCTTTCTGTGCTCCCCAAGCGCAGCAACAAGTTGGCAGAGGACGCAGCCTTGCGAGACAGTTTCTGCCGAGGTCGCTCCGATGGGGAGGATGAAGACGAATTTCTCCGGGGCCTAGCAAAGCAGACAAGTAGGTGGTGGCCTGGTCGACAGGTACAGCCCACCACTCCCAGGTGGCCCAGGTCACCTACGTGTCCAGGCGTGCTGAGGGTTGCCCTGGTCTGAGCACCCCGGGAGGTCCCGGCAACCCGGCCCCACTGCTGCAGCTGCCGCCTTCAGAGGGCGCCCCGCCAGGGACCTCACCGCCCGCCCGTGGGCCCGGGGGTCCATTGCTTAGGCTGAGAGGACCCGGGCCCGGCGTAGAGTCCTCCAGGGGCTCCGTCTGGGTGCCCCGGCTCACCAGGGCTGGGCTGCAGTGGGGCGGCAGGCCCGGGGGAGCCAAAGAGCTGCAAGACAGCAATGGGGAAGGAGGCGTGGTGTGCCCCTGCCCATGCCCGTGTCTGCTCCTGCCTGTTCCTGTCCCCAGCCGGCCCTTGCCCCTTAACCTGGCCTAGTCCCCACCTGTCCCCGTACCTGTCCCTGTCCCCGTCCCTGTCTGGGGTCCGCATTCGCAACAGGCGCAGCGCCTCGGCCAGAGCGGCCTTCACGAGCTCCATCTCCTCCTCCTGCGCCTGCAGCCGTCTGCTCAACGCCCGCAGGGCCTCAGGGGCGGTGCCCGCACCTGGGACAGACAAGAACGCCGGCTGTGAGCGCGGACAGGACCTGGATGGACGGGACGGGACAGGACTGGACTGGACGGGGAAGATGGGACATGACCCGGGAGCTGGCAACAGGGACACGGCGGACCCAAGGCCGCGCGACGGGACGGACAGAGGCGCTACCCACGGTGCGGTCCGCAGACACCCAGGCCTGGGTGACAGCGGGAGGAGCCGGGGCACAGGGATGGGGACAGCTGCCAGCCGAACTCACCGGGCCCCGCGGCCCCGTCCATGCAGCCCACAGCTCGCGACGGCAGCGTCTACACCGCTGCTGACTCGGCCCTTCGCGTCCCCATGCGGGCTCGGGGCGCTGTGGGTGGCGGGCTCGCGGCGCGCAAACAGCCGGACGCCGGCGCAGGAAGCGCGGGTGGCGCAGCCCCTCCCCGTCCGCCCAGATCTCCGCCCCGCGGTAGCTTGGGACCCCACTTCCGCGAGGCAGGGCAGGCTGTCTGCACGGAAAGGGGCGGGGCGGTCCCCAAGCAGACGGGAAGTGCCCCCGTGGGGGTGTCCAAGCTGTCTCCAGGTTGGGGGAGCTGTCCCCGTGGGGATGTCCAGGCTGTTCCCACGGTGGGGGAGCGGTCGCCTGGGATTGGGCAGGTGAAGCACCCCTCCACATATGTCAAGGCTGTCCCAATGGAGGGAGGGACCCAGGGTGGCAGGGCGCTTGCCCAGGGTATTGGGGTCAGAGCCGCATTAGCCCGCTGGAGCCGAGCCGCGCTGACTCAGCCCTGCCTGTCCCTGTCCCATCCCGTCTGCCTGTCCCGATGGCGCCCGTGCTGGCCCTGCCGCTGCCTCGCGGGGCCCGCGTGCGCCTGGCACAGGGGCTCTGGCTGTTGTCTTGGCTGCTGGCTCTGGCAGGCGGCCTGGTGCTGCTGAGCGCCGCGCACCTCCTGGCGCAACTTCGCACCTTGGGCACCTTCCTGACTCCGAGCTGCTCCTTCCCAGCACTGCCCCGGACTGCGCTGCTGGCAGGTGCCACGGCGCTGGGAATGGGGTTTGGGGGAGCAGGCGCCAGCCGGGCTAGCCTGGACACCACGCGCTACTCGACCTGGCGCGCTGTTCTGGGCCCACTGCTACTAGTGGGTGCACTGGGCGGTGGGGGGCTGCTGGGGGCCGCCCTGGGGCTGGCCTTGGCACTGCCTGCGGGCCTGGACACAGGGCTGCAGGAGGGCCTGGGGTCCGCCCTAGCCCACTACAAGGACACAGAGGTGCCTGGACACTGCCACGCTAAGCGCCTGATGGACGAGCTGCAGCTCAGGCACCGATGCTGCGGGAGGCACGGCTACAAGGACTGGTTTGGGGTTCAGTGGGTGAGCAGCCGCTACCTTGACCCCAGCGACCAGGACACGGCCGAGTGAGTGACTTCTGCCCCCCGCCCCCACCTGAAGCCCCCTCCTCACCCAAATGGGCAGCGGCTGAGGCCACCGAGTCATGCCCTGCCAGGGTCACTGCAACCCCAGGCTGCAGGCAGATACCAGGTGGGCTGCCTCGCCTCCTTTACCGCAAACTGCTGGTGGGGGAGGGGCGGCGCAGGTGACGGAGACGCCCACATGGCACTCAGCACCCAGCCCCAAAACACATCACTTTCCCTCCATACTGCCGACCCCCACCACCACCCTGTCTGTTCTCACTGCAGCCGTATCCAGAGCAATGTAGAAGGCCTCTACTTGACCGACGGTGTCCCCTTCTCTTGCTGCAACCCCCACTCCCCTAGGCCCTGCCTGCAGAGCCACCTCTCTGACCCCTATGCCCACCCACTCTTTGATCCCCGGCAGCCCAACCTAAACCTCTGGCCCCAGGGGTGCCATGAGGTACTGCTGGATCATCTTCAGGGCCTGGCAGGCACCTTGGGCAGTGTGCTGGTGTTCACCTTCCTGTTGCAGGTGAGGGGGAGTACTGGGCTGCTTTGCCCTGGGGTTCCACCCACAGCCCCATCCCACACTTCCCCTTCTCCCTGTAGGTGCTGGTGCTGCTTGGCCTTCGGTACCTGCAGACAGCGCTGGAGGGGCTTGGTGGGGTCACAGATGGGGAGGAAGACACCCAGGGCTACCTCCTCCCTGGAGGACTCAAGGACATGCTGAAGACAGCCTGGCTGCAGGGAGGCAATGCCCACAGGCCAACACCTGCTGAGGCACCCCCAGAAGAGGCCCCTGCCCCAGAGAGCCTGCCTGAGGCCTAGAGGCCAGGGCAGTGGGAAGTCATAGATGGGGCGCTCAGATCCCTGCCAGGAAGGCCTGCATTAAGAAAGCCCACAAGCTAGACAGAATAGGTGTCCTCATCCACCTCTGGGATGGACAGGGAGGACTGTACTGCTTCTGTACAGATGCCGTAATAAAGCTTTGGGAGAGAAGCCACTGTCACTGGGCGTCTCTTCATGGGGATGGGCCCTGAGGAGTCTGTTCCCAGGGGAAGCCAGGCTGCCAGCTCCTACCAGCCGCAGCCTGGCAGGAGGCAGGAGGGCTGTGCCACACAAAAGAGAACTGGGCAGGGTATTTATTCTGGAGGCGGGAGGGGGTTCACATGCTCAGGTGAGGAGGGCCCTGCCCAGGTCCCCCAGCCCCCACCCGCCAACCCCAATAAGTTACTCATCCCCCCAGTCTATCTGTCCCTGGCTGACCACCTGTCGCCAGCCTGTGGGTACAGCTGCATGGCAGGTCTCCAGGAGGAGGGGCCACTGGGCCACACCTTGGTGAGGGTCAGGCCTGGAGCCCCATGAATTATGCACGAAACACCTCCGGAAGTCAAGTGAGACCGTCACACCTCCACAGCCCAGTCAGAGCCTCGGCCCTGCCGCTGCAGCTGCTCCTCCTGCTTCATCTTGGGCTTCTCCGTCCGCGTGTGCCACACCAGCACCTGGCAGAGGATGTGAGGTGGGGCCAGGCCAGGGTGCAGCCCTCTACACTCAGTGCTGGCCACAAAGTGGTTAAGCCTGGAGCTCGAGAAAACTGGTGGCTCTGCCCCTCTGCCCTACAGTTCCCATGGTGACAGGACCCACTCCCATCTTGTCTTTCAGTAGAGCACGCAAAGTGGACAGGGTCTGAGATTTCCCCTGCACAGATACCCAGTCCCAGGGCCACCCCATGTCCCCAGCACCTGCCCGCCCCTGCCTCCCCTACCCGGGTGCAGTTGGCAGCCCGTGGCTCCAGGTCCTTGGGGTCCACGAGGTGACTCAGAAGGCTACTCTCCAGGTGGCCCCGGGGGGCAGCAGCATCAAACTGTGCATCAGGCTTGGCCAGCAGGAGGGGCAGGGCGACCGCAAAACCCGCCATGTCCACAGGGAAGGGCCTGGTGGGCTCCCACGCTGTGTGGAACCCCACCACCCGGCCATCCTGCACCCGAGGACTCTCGAAACGCAGGCCCCCTACCAGCCCCACTGGCCACACTGAGACACCCCGGGTCCATCGCATCTGCCAGAGATCAAGAGAGGGGACAGGGTGGCCCCAGGAAGGAGAACAGAACAGCCACCCAGCATGCCCCCCCCTTCTCACCCTGCAGCCACAGCGCTGCTGCAGACCCCTTCCCCAACCCCCACAGCCCTCACCTCCTCAAAGAGAGTCCTGCTGTAGGTGTTGTCATCATCAGCAAAGTACACGACACCCGGGGACCCCGGGGGTGGCGGGTCCTTCTCCCCACCAATGGCGCCCCCTTGGCCCCGGAGCCAGGCCAGGGCCCTGTTCCGTTGTTCCACACCCCGGGGCCGCACCCAGCCGGGCTCACCCTCCCGGAGCCTCTGGGCTTTGGGTGTAAGGACTGCCAGGTGAGTGAACAGTAGGCCGGAGGCAGCCAACAGCCCTGAGACCAGTGGGGTGGGGCCCTCAGCATCCTCCACCAGCAGCCAGTGCAGCCGGGGCACCAGGCTCAGGGTCTGAGAGAGTCGCACCAGCTCAGCCTTTTGCACCAGCCTGTGGGACAGGCAGGAAGGCACACTGCAGCCCAGCTCTGCTCGGGCCCCCCCCAGGCCCTCACACACCTGCTGACCCTCAGCCACCCTGCTCCTCCACCCTGGGGCTCTGGAGGGTGGGGATGGGGCTGTAAGTTAAGGGAGGGTCAGACAGATCAGGATTTTTTTTTTTAGTTTTTGAGACAGGGTCATGCCATGTAGTTCTGGCACAGTGACCAGCAACTCACAGCAATCCTGCCTCAGTCTCCCGAGTGCTGCAATGGCAGACATGCACCCTATGCTTGGCCCAGATCTTGGTTTGAGTCCCAGATTTGGCAGTAACAGGTGGGACAGACACTATGGGAAAGTGTCTTTGTACTTCAAGCCTACCCAACTGTAAAACAGGAAGAACCATCCTTTGTTTGGTACCAGGAATTAAACTTAGGACCTCACACTTGCAGGGCAGGTGCTGCACAATGAGTTACGTCCCCACCTCATTCCCCTTTTGTCTTTTTGAGACAGGTCTCGTTATGCAGCTCAGGCTATCCTTGGACTCACTCTGTAACCCAGGCGGGCCTCAAACCTGCAGTGATCCCTCAGCCTCCCAAGTCCCATCCCTCCTGGGACTACAGGCACACACCAGCACGTCGGCAGGAATAACCATACTTGATGACAATACTGTTTTAAAAAGCAGGGGTCAGGGAGATAGCTCTGTGGAATAAGTGCTTGCCTGGCATGCGCAATGTCCTGAATTCGATCCCTGGTACCACCAAAAAACAAAAAATAAAGAAAAGGTCTAGGGATATAACTCAGTGGCACAGCACCCACCCGGCAAGCACAAGGTCCTGAGTTTGAGTCCCCAGTACCAAAAAGTAAATAAATAATAAAACTAACTAGAGATAAAAAAGGACCGTGCTCGCGATAGGCAAGCTCTCTACTTCAGTAAGCTATTTCTCAAATCCCAATTTCTTTCCTTGTTTTTTTTTTTGGTGACAGAACCGAGGATTGAACTCAGGCCCTTGCGCTTGCCAGGGAAACGCTTATTCCACTGAGCCATCTCCCTGGCCCCAAGCTCATAATTTCTTTGAGTTAAACTTTAAAACTCTGGGTTCATCTATCCCATTGTTTGGCATGCTGTAGTTTAATAAGCCCAGCACCCCCCTCATTCACCCTCAACCTCAGGGAGGATGCAGTCCTCCTGGGTGCCCAGCACCCATACCTGGCATAGGTGGGGGTAATGACGTAGATGGTCGGCAGGGCCTCGGGTTCAGGGGGCTGGGCAGGGACGGCAGGCGGACGACGGAGGTCAGCCTGCAGCTGGGAAATCCTCAGATCCTTCTGCCGGAGCTGTTCAACCGCTGCTCGCAGGGTAGGAAGGCAGTCGCAGGGCTGGCCTGGTCCCAAGAAGCGGCGACAGAGAAAAGAATGGGGGCCGGAGAACCCCAGATCGTTCACAATCCAAAGACATTAACTCAAGCATGTGCAGGCTCCCCTTGCCTTCTCTCTCAGCTCTCGGCCTATCTGCACCTCAACAGTAACCTCCTTCCACCTTAGTGCATCATATTGCTTTTCCCTCTACCCTCTCCCCTCTCTCTCCCCGCCCCAAAAAACTGGGTATGGGACGCAGCGCTCCCTCGCACATGCTACGTCGGCACCGCGCTGCACCCCTGCCCTGTAAGTCTTCATCTAGATACTGAGCCGACTGCATCCGTCCCGCCCCACTCTCGGGCCTCCCTTCGGCGTTCGACTCCTAAGGCACAGGCGTGCATGCTACCCCGGGGAACCCTGCACTGGAGCTGCCATCGCCCGCTCCCGAGGACACGGCCCTGATGCTGGGGACGCGGCAGAAACAAACCAGCCCACACTAGCGAAACCGCGGACAGCCCGGGAGGGCACGTGACAAGGTCACAGGAACGGGCCGGGCCGCAGGAGCGGTCACGCGGCACAGGGGAGAGGCCCGCCCGCCCCGCTCACCCAGCTGCACCAGCGCATAGAACAGGCCGGCGATCGACACCAGGAAGTAGACGAGAAACACGTTCCTTAGCTTCAGCTTCATGGCCGCGCTGTCGGGGCGCCCCACAGAAAGGGGCACCCGGGGAAGCGGGGGTCCCCGACTTCGCCTGCAAGCCCCGCCCCCGCCCCCGCCCCCGCCGCGCGCCCCCGCCGCGCGCCCCCACACCGGCTCCGGGGGCAGGCGGCGCCACCCGGTGCCCACTTCCGGTCATCTGTACCCTCCCAGCACCAGCTTCCGGTCTCCCGCCTACTTCCAGCACGGGTGGTGACGTCATACGCCGGCGCGGGCCGGAAGAAGCCCGGAGGAGCGCGAGGGGCGCGCGTCAAGGCGTGACGCGGAGCACAGGCCGCCTGGGAGCGGGCGGTTCCCGGTCGTGGGCCGGGCACCCGGCGCCCCGGCTCCCCTCCAGTGTAGATGGGGACGCTCCCGCCTGCGCCTTGCCGGCCCGCCCTCCCAGGCCGCGGTGCCGCGCAGTGGGGTGTCGCGCAGTGGTGCAGGGGGTGCGTACCCAGCCCTGCGAGAAAGGTGCGCGCTTTGGCAGCGCAGTGCACAAAATCTCGAACGATACAGGGATGGCCCCTGCACAGGGGTGACACGTACATTTGTAAACGGCTCCATATTTGTTGAAAAAAATCTGTGGGATTGTTACACACACAGTTGGGCTTGTTTTTGACAGTGTAACCTGGCTTTGATCTTGGGGAAGTCCTACTGCCTCAGCCTCCTGAGTATTACAGGCATGACCCATAATGCCATTTTCTCTTTTTTAAGGACAGTCTTGCTGTGTAGCCCAGGCAGACCTCGAATTCACTAGGCTTGTCTCGGCCTCCACAACACTGTGTTGTTCCTATCTCATAAATTGTCATGGGCCAGAGGGCAATTCCTTGTTTTTGAGACTAGTCCAAGCCGACTTGACAGTCCAGAGTGGCCTGCCCCAGACCTCAGAACTCCTTTCTTCTGTCTGTACATCGAATCCTGGGATGAGCTGTTCAGGCAGCAGGCCGACTCTAATGGAAGAAACCCTTCCTAGCTGGGGACCTGCAAGCACATCCTTCACTCCAAGCCATCCTGAATACCCTTCTTTAGAAGTTTCTTGTGAAATAGCCTCTACAACACCTGCGCAGAGTACAAAATGGAAGGGGGGAAAAATTTGGG